CTGAGGCCACACTTGATTCTTACTATCTCCTTTACATACCATATTAAATTCCTTCCCCCAGAGTCTGCATTTACAGGTCTAAGATGTTTACCTACTGGGGAAGCACAGACCCTTATCTCTAAGGGGTTTCACCTTGGTAAAGACCTGATAACTGGGAGTGCCCATTGATGGTTCTCCCTGGGTATGGAAGCACACCAGAGAATCCCTTGGGTTCAGATGTACTCTTCCTTCTCGCTTGGGGAGCAGCAACATCAGCAACTCATGATAATCAGGGTCAATTACCTATGTGAGCATGAAAGCTCCATTCTTTACCTGGCGGTCTGCCCTCAAGAGAAGCCCAAAGTGACCCAATCAGTCCTAGCAGCTTAGTGTATACTTCCGATGGTGCTTTGTAGCACAAGGCTCACCCCTTCTCCTCCTTCATTCCCACCCGACTCCCAGTAACAAGGAACTCTAAGCCAGAAGGGCCTTTCTAGGCACAGGAAGCACCGATTTTCGCTAGGTATCGCTGCCTTGTCATGGAGGTTTCCGCCTTGGAATCCACATGTAAGGTGTCTGCAGATGGGTCCAATGTAGCGAACACCTACCTACCTCTTGGCTGTCCCAGAATTAGTCAGATTTTAGGAGACCAAAGGAATGTGAAGGACTACGTAGCTTGTGGGCAAGGAACTGAACAGAACAAGCCCTCAGACCCAAACTCCTGAATCCCAGGCTGAATCCCACACCATCATTTATTAGTTGTGAGAATGTGGGCAAATTACCTGCATTTCTGTTTTAATTTCCTTGTCCATAAGACTGACGTGCTATTGTTACCAGCATCACATATTTGAGTTTTTTTTCTTCTCTCTGCTTTTCTTGGAGACAGACAATCCATCAGGGGTCCTAAGCATCCTTGCATGCTCAGTTCTGGTGGTGAGGAGGTGATGCTATCACAAAGACATGGCTTTCTGGAAGAAAAGGGCCAGTTCTAGGGATCTGATAAGACTCACGGGGATCTACTGACAAATGTTCTTGCCCAGTGAAGCCCCACTGTGACACCTGCTGATAAAACTATAGGCTGCGTGCGTGCAGGATTGAAACAAACCCCTGGGTGTGGCCTTTCTTGTTGCTCACTCTCTTCCAGGAGAAAAGAGAAGAATGTTAGGACACTGGGACAGCCAGCCCTGCAGCCTAGCTGAAAGGTGATCCTGAGCCAAGGTGTCTCCAAAGCTGAAATCAATGTCAGCAATGAAGAAAGAGCTGCCCGTGGGGTGAAAGCACTCCAAGTTCCTTGGTTGGGTCACGTAGGCAGCCACTCACACGTGAAAATGTAAAGCCTTGCTTACTGGCAGAGCAGCATTCTCCACATTCTCAGGCACTCCCTTCCTCTCTACTCTAACCTCAGCTGCTCTGAGAGCAGGCCATTTCCTTGTCCCTGAGGGGAACCAAAGGCCTTATGAACCTGTCTGAGTATGCTGGGGAATTTTCAGGGAGGAGAGAGACTCCAATTTTTACAGCCCTACCTGGATACAGGTGCCTAAGTCACCATCCCACCTGGTCCAGCCGGGGTGAAGTGCACGCATGGCCAAAGGCACTGAAAACTGCAGTGGGGACGCAGGTGACACAGTGAGCATCAGAAAGCACCCCAATGCCCAGTGGGTGCCAGGAGGCACCCAGGAGGAGAGCAGCACCAACCTTGGATCAAAGCCCAGGGAAGAAAATAGGTCTCCCTGCTCTTCCCCCATGAGACCCTGCCCTCCCCTCTCCTGGTGGCTGTGGCTTTAGCCCCCGATGTGCTCTGTCTTACTGTAGGGAAAAATGCACCCAAATTCAACTGGTGGGTTTGCAGTGGGGGAAGGGAGCCAAAGAGACCTTGTGAGGCTTCTGGGCCAATTCTCGTCCTGTTGTCTGTTGTCGTGGCTCCCACTGCTGACTAATACTGGTAGCTGACATGCATGTGTTACACGCCTGTACTGAGAATAGTCGTGTGCATTCAGGGACTGTCACATACACAAGTGATTCCAGTGCCCTTCCACTGGTTCAACAAAAACAATATAGAATGAATCACAGGAACAGAAACCACAACTTTAAAGATTTAATGGCTGAGCCGGCCGAGTGGCTCAGTTGGTTAAGAGTTCGCTCAAGAGTGCAAGCTCTGAGCAACAGCGGTTTGAGTCCCGGCCCAAGCTGAGCTGCCAACAGGTGGCAGGATGGCTCAGCTAAAAAAAAAAAAAAAAGACTTAATGGCTCTCAGAGAACTCAGAGTGGACAAGGTCTGTGAGGCAGAAATGAAAAAGCCCTGGACTGGACTTCAAGCACTGGTTCATCTTCCAATGATAAATGTGACGGTGATAAAAAAAACTCCTAACAGATATCACATGTTATGCAGCTACTGACTCATAATCCAATGCCAAACGCAGAGGTAATAACGCCCTCTTCTGTCCAAGTCCAATCTCATCTCAATCACACCACACTACATGTTTACATTTATCCATCTATCTCCCTTCTAGGATGTAAACTTTATTCAGGCAGCTGGACATCATAATAGGTTATGT